CACTCTCACACACACACACACACACACACATACACACAGGCTCTCTCTCTTCTTCTCTTTCTCTTTCTTCCTCTCTCTCTCTCTCTCTCTCTCTCTCTCTCTCTCTCACACACACACACACACACACACACACACTGGCACACTCACTCTCACACACATTAAACATTATGCCTTGAGCTGCTCAGGCTGGCTGGCATTGAGCCAACCCTTTTTTGTTTACAGGTATGAGAAAAATCTTGTGTTTGCCCAGCGCTGGGGAATTTGGAAAGGAATGGTGATGGGCTTCTTCACTGGGTACATGTGGTGTCTCATTTTCTTCTGTTATGCACTGGCCTTCTGGTATGGCTCCACACTTGTCCTGGATGAGGAAGAGTATACACCAGGGACTCTGGTCCAGGTACTTTGCCCTTGTTTCCTATATATAGTCTTTCTTGCTAGCTTGTCAGAAAAGTCATCATAGTAGCCCTGAGAATTAATCCCTTTAATGTCTTAGGCAAGAAAGCCTCAGTAGTTTGCTGAAGTCCACTTGCAGGGTCAATGATATTAGGACACTTTCGTGAAGAGAAGTTGAACCTGTGGGCTTTTAGCAATTTAATGATTTCCAATTAACTAATGATTTTACAGCTATACAGTAATGATCCTCCAGCTGATCCCAAAAGAAATTATACCATGAAAATGGGAAGTCATTGACCCCTCAGCTAAAGATGAATAGACCATAAAAATGAAGCTAATAATAGTACAAGATATGTAACATCTTCAACCGAAGAAGTGATACAAGCATATTTCACAATTCATTTGTGGGATGTTATGACATCACGGATGTTATAGCTACTTTAATTTGCAGTGTTTTTTGAGTTATTCACTCCATAATCATTTACTCGGCATTTGCTATGTGCCAGATCCATCCAAAGCACAGTGGACAAAAAACCAACAACACTTTTTTTATTTGCTGTGGTGTCGGAAATTGCTTCATATAAGATTTTTAAATTAAATAAAATGTTGCAGCTGAAGATTATTGATGGAACAGGCACTAGCTTTAACAATGAAAAGCACCAGGAGTTCATTACATGAAAGTTTATCATTCAAAAACCCACCGTTTATTACAAACACAGCTCTAGGGGAACCAGGAGAGCTTGTGCATTGTCGATAGGAGTGATCATCTAATACATGTCATTCTGAGCAAGAAAAGGAAGCAACAGGATGGTTTAAGTCATCTTTGTCTTTGATGGATGGACAGCTGGCATAGCTTTGAACTTTGTTTTAAAATACTGAATGTGATAACGCATGTTCAGGTGTTATGCAGATTTTAAAAGAGAGTACGGAGAGTGTTAATGGTATCACGACCTACCAATTGTCTTTACAACTTAGATCTAATTTTGTACATCAGAAAAGTTAAAGTATTGTAGGTCTGAGATCTGTCTATAAAGTTCTTTCTCTTTATCAATGTAATTGCTTCTAAAAGCTTTAGACATTGTCACTGGTGAGATAGCTCTTTCTGCTAAGCACAAAGACCTGAGTTCGAGTCCCAAGACTCAAAAAGGAGGAGGTAACTGATTCAGGCAGGTCTTCCTTTCACCCTAACCCCTGCATTTCTGCATACAAGCTCCCCCTAATAAACAAGCAAAAAAAATGTAATGAAAATAATTTAAAAGCTGTATACATTTACCCATCAAAGGTGTCAGTAGCTGAAGTTAGCTTTGGATGTTCATTTTGTAGAAAGGCTTTCACTGAGCAAAATTGCTCTTTTATTCTGTGCCTATGAGAAGAAAGAGGGATTTATGAATAAAAGTTCAGAGGAGAAATGCTTGGTAAATTGAAAGTTAAATGATACACAATTCCAGTGGAAAGCTCAGAGTAAAAGTCCCTGTGTGTCATAGCTTTAGTTGTTAACTTTATGTACCTGGATAAGGACCCACAGTTGAGAAATTACCTTCATCAGATTGGCCTGTGGGCATGTGTAGAGCATGGTTTCGATTCATGGTTTTGATTGCTAATTGACATTCAGAGGGCACAGCCCACTGAGAGTGGTGCCATCCCTAGACAGATGGTCCTGGGCTATAGAAGAAGGCAAGCTAAGTAAGTCTAGGGAACAAGCCAATGGAAAACAGGCGGTTCCTCTGTGGTCTCTGTTTCAGTTCTTTAGATTTCAGTCTCAGCTTCCCTCAATAATAGACTATGACTTATAAGCTGAGTAAACTCTTTCCTTTTCAGATTGTTTTTGGTCATGGTGTTTGTCACAACAACAAGAAATCAAACTAGAACACCTTAGTCACTGATTTAGTTGCTTTTCTATTGCCATGAAGTGGCAGCATGACTAAGGCAACTTATAGAAGACAGTTAATTGGAGGATTTCAGTTTCAGAGACTGAGTCCATGACTGTCACGGTGGGGAGCATGACAGAAGGCAGGCACTAGAGCAGAAGCTTAAAAATTGCGTCTTGTGTTTTAAGAATGAGGGAGGGAGGGAGGGGAGAAAGGAGGGAGGGGGAGAGAAGGAATTAACTGGGAAATGGCATGGGCTTTTGACACCTCAAAGCCCACTCCCAGTGACACACCTCTTTCAACAAGACCACACCTCCTAATCCTTCATAAACAGTTCCACCAACTGTTGGAAGCATTCAAATATATGAACCTATTAGGCTCATTCTCGTTCAAACACCATAGCAACTAGATTCTAGTTTTATGGTTCTCATTTTTTTTTAAATTTCCTGAGGATTCAACCATGAGACCATCTATCATGTTATGTTCAGCCTGCCACCCAGATTTTGTAAGTAGCCAAAGAAAGCTATGAACATGGGCCAACAAAAATTCTAAATTTACTTAAAATATTCAGATTTTCAGGGGGCACTTCTTTGTTTTGAACTTGATTGTATGGACTTTGAAGTTGACAACATTGTTTAAACATACCTGCGAGATCTTCCCTGAGGAGTTTGTCATTTCATGATTTTTAAAGTACCTACTGTGTGTAGATATAGCATACTGTGCGTCTCTAATGTTTTAATCATCAATTATAATCCTCTTCTTCTCAACTTCTTGCTATAACGTGCTGTTTACACTTTGCCTGGAAAAATACTTTTTCTTCGTTAAGACTCTCTTAAATGTTTCTCTCTCTCTCTCTCTCTCTCTCTCTCTCTCTCCCCCTCTCATCTCTCTCTCTCTCTCCCTCTCTCTCCCTCACTCTGTCTTGTGTGTGTGTGTGTATGTGTGTGTGTGTGTATGTGTGTGTGTGTATGTGTGTGTGTGTATGTGTGTGTGTGTGTTCTTGGTTTTATTTCTACACAGCCATTATGAAAGCTGAGTACTCTTGAGTTTCTTGAGTTGGGTTCAATGTTTTAAGCCACTAATGTAATTAACAGTCAAATTAATCTAGCACATATTGTTGTGCACAAAATTATTATGACTGCTTTGGGTGTAAATGAGAAGCAGCTTACATAGATTACTGTAATTAGTACCACTTGTGTACAGATAAAAACTTGCTTTCTGGTCTATTAGGGAATGATGAAGAGGAACCGAATGAAATCTTGGGTTTTTATTTACATTTCAGGTTTCAGTAATAAAGAATAATGGCAGTAATAGAAAACAATATTCTCTCGGTGCATATAAGGCATCAGGCACTGAGCAAGGTGTTTAATGTAATTACCATAAATAATTTGCATTACTTAATTCTGTGATTGGTGCCATGATTCTACTACAAAAATGAAAGGCAGCCATGAGGTCAATTAATATGTGCTAGGAGGTATCAAGTATGATTTGAGCTCAGGTCTCAATGACTTAGGACTGTCCCATTAGTGGGCTTTCCTGCCTCCAGATCTATGTTATAAGAGATACAGATCATAACTCCTTAGAAGGGTGCCCTATGCATTAGCTTCTTCTTACCTTCCTGTGCACAAGGATAAGCTATGGTATTTCTGGTGAGAACGTCTTGCCTGGGATGTGTGCCATCTACTGCAATCATATTGGATGTGAGTCTGTCTTCTCTCGCTTCTGGCTTCTCTAAGAACCTCCATAGAGAAAATTGCTCGAGGCAATACCTTTTATATAAAGCCAGGCTAAGCCAAAGTTTGACCCCTGGTCTTCAATTGAAGACTCCAATGACTCAGTAAAAGAGTCACTGGTGCAAATATATTCCTTATCCATTTTTTTCATAAATATACTTTTATTGGGACATATCCATGGTCATTCATTTATTTACACATTGCTACACTTGCTTGTGTACCATATAGTCTGTATACACATGGATTCAGAACCCATATGGCCTGACCTATTTACTAGTAGGCTTTTATAGAATGTGTTTGCTGGGCTCAGATCTAGGGTACAGGAAGACTTGCTTTGCTGAGGTGGGAGGTCGCTGGAGAGGGTGGTCTTAAAAAAGCTTAGCCAAGATCTACTGTTATCTGCCTGTTTGCATCACTCACTCAGTTCTTCCACTCTGTAGAAGGGGAAAATGGTATTTTAAAGTATAACTATGGAGAAAGACTTTACAAAGCAAAAAAAATTCTATGTATTTCGGAAAAGCCCTTAAACTAACTACTTAACTTTAAAAATGTTTCTGAGAAATCTTAAGAATTCATAAGGATATTCCAATGGTAAATGTCATTATGTACAAACTCGCAAAAACATAAGCAAATTATGGGTTGTTTTTTGTTTTCAGATTTTCCTCTGTGTTATAGTAGCAGCTATGAATATTGGCCATGCATCTTCTTGCTTGGAAATCTTCTCCACTGGGTGTTCAGCAGCTACCAGTATTTTTCAAACAATAGACAGGGTATGTAAAAGTCAAAAGAAATAGTTAATGGGGTATGTACTTGGATGGGTCCCAATAGCTGGGGCACTTTATGTCCCTGCTGTCATTCTTATACTGGGAGATGCCCATTAAAAAAAAAAAAAAAGAATTTCTTTGAGACAGGGTCTCACCATGTTGTCCTGGCTAGTCTGGTACTCACTACATAGACCTGACCCTGAGATCCACCTGCCTCTGGCTTATATGTGTGAGTGAGTGTGTGTGTGTGTGTGTGTGTGTGTAGGGATTAAAGGCATGTACTACTACACACATCAAGAAATAAACATTTAAAGATAACATCAGACAGTACTAAATCCAATGAAAGAGATAAAATAGGTGTCACAATGTGTTATGACTGGCTAGTGGGAGGAGTCTTTAACGGAGGACGTGGGAAGTAAGAACAACACAACAACAAAAAAACCCAGGAATTCCTGGTTGAGAAACATCTAGGTTGGGAAAGAGCTTGGTGGACTCAAGGAATCAAGAATGTCCAATGGGAATGAACAAAGGCTGGAGGGATGGGAAACTTCTTATGGTCATGCTTATGAGCCTGGATGCTCTTCTGGCAGGACGTCTCTTTAAATTTATAAAGAACCTTGATATTCCTGGGGGGATATTATTGGTTAATTTATAGACATACATTGAAAATCCTGTCAGGTAACCACAGACCAAGAACAGAAGGGAGAAGGTAGGACTCTGCTCTTTTTTCTCTTTGAGAAAATGACATGGACCAAGAGCCATGGGTCACCTGAAGTATGAGTGGGCTTTTTGTTGTTTTTGGTTTTGGTTTTGGCTACAATGAGATTGTTATCTACCCGAGGAAACTGTTTTGTGTTGTGAGTTCCATGACCTAGAATATGTTGATATTTTCCCTTTGAAAAAGATTTGTTTTATTTTTGTTTTTTATTGTGTGTTTGTATATATGTCTATCTGTCTGTCTGTGCATGTGAGTGCAGGTCAGAAATCTTAAAGACTCCATGAGTCTCCCATTATGGGAGCTAGGGTCTGAATTTGGGTCCTCTGAAGAGCAAGTAATGACTGAGCCATCTCTCCAGCCTTTTGATCTTTTCTTTTAAACACTTATTTATTTTATGTATATGATTATACTGTAGCTGTCTTCAGACATTCCAAAAGAGGGCATCAGATCCCATTACAGATGGTTGTGAGCCACCATGTGGTTGCTGGGAATTGAACTCAGGACCTCTGGAAGAACAGTTAGTGCTCTTAACCACTGAGCTATCTCTTTGAACCTCTTTGACCTTTTCTAATGTTACCTTCTCCCTAGGACTGTCACAGTCTCAAATCAAGTGATGCCTGCAAAGCTTCTATGAAATCAATCGAGAATTAAGACAGTTACATTTTATTTTATTATCCTTATTAAACACTTCAGAAAAAGGAAATAGACTCCAGTATATCCTCTGAAGGGGCTATGGTCATGAATTGTTATTACTGCTGTGGACGATGGACAAAGTTGAACCTGGAGTGTCCTAAGAGGAACAAGTGGCCCTCTTCCTTATCTGGTTAGCCAGAATGGTTGTTTTAGATCAGTCTCATCAGTAACAGCAGAGTGAGGTCAGGGTACAGCTGGAAGTTGGTGATATGGGACATTTTGTGGACACTTAATTTTGCTCGTCATCTGCATTGCCTGCCAAATGTGTTACTAGCCCCAGCCTAGCTGGGTAGCTATATTACCCTGGACAGGAAACACTCTCAGAGGTTCCTCCCTGTCTAACTAGAATACAGCGATAATGTAAATGCAAACAGTACATTAAAAGACTTTGTACTTTGCCTCCCATCATCTCAGTAATATAATACATTACAATGAATACTAACCATATTACTATTGCTTATTATGTGTCAATGAACAATGGTTTTATAACATTATATAATGTCAGCAATCTATAGGCTTATGGTAATAATGTAACAAATAATATCAATTAAATAAATAAAACTCTCTGCTATTGTATCAAAATCACATTCAATAATAATATATTGTAGTATAATAATAACTCAGCAATCTCAACAGTAAGTAATAACTGGTATCACTCTTGTAAATATGGAATATTAAAGTGATTTATCTTTACACATCTCTGCAATATTTTACCCAGAAAGGTTATACTTTAAAATTTTTTATTAGATTCATTCATTTTACTTTTGTGTGTATTTTGCCTACATGCATGTATGTGCACTACATGTATCCTTGGTGCCTGTGGAAGTCAAAAGAGAAAGAGAATATTAGAAGCCTTGGCAACAAAGTTATGGATGATTGAGAACTACCTATCTTGGGGGTGCTGGGAATTGAACCTGGGTCCTTTGCAGGAGCAGTGAGTGCTTTTAACTACAGAGATATCTCTCCAGTCCCAGTTTTACTTTGTGTGTTACCCAATATCAAGATGGATACAACATGTATGTATCATGCATTGTCACAAATACAATATCTTTGCACTCCAGCAACCTGTCATCGACTGCATGTCAGGAGATGGTTACAAGCTAGACCGAGTCAAGGGTGAAATCGAATTCCACAATGTGACCTTCCACTATCCTTCTCGACCAGATGTGACGGTGAGTGTCTACCTTTGGCCTGATGTTTTTGGCTCTTGAGTAATTCATTTCCAGAACCACACACTGTTTTCTTAAGTGCCGACTCAGTTTCCTGGAACAGAAGACAGGAATGTGTTTCTCTGGACGTGTCCTTTGGTATTGTGCCAAATTAGGGACACGGTGAATGTCTTAGTGATGATTATAATGTGCATGTCTTAATGATGATCATAATGTGCGAATCTCTCTGGGTGGAACACGGTCTGGCACAAGGCTCAGGCTGAGTCATGTGATCCTCTGTTGAAATGAGTGGCAGGTCCTGCCATTCTAGGTATGTGGTAAGGCAATCAAAACAACCAAGTAGCACAGCTTTCAATCACCACCTCGTTGGAAACCACAGAAGGTGGTGCGGAGTGAGGGAGGCAGTGTGACTAGCAGAGCTAGCAGCTGTGAGCTGCTTTGCATTAGTCCTTGTAGGAAAGCCACATGGCGCTGTTGCTCTCTTGCATCTTGGGCTCAGTGATTGTCCAGGGCACACAGTAAGGGAGATATACTGTTTTCTAGCACCTATGGGGCAGTATCATTGGAGGTAACTCCACTCTATAGGAAAGTCCAATCAGCTCTCTTGAATGAACTGGCTTTGAAATAATGCTTGTATTCATCCAGAACTTAGCATCTCTGTTTTCCTTTTATTAATATTTCCATTATACTCACAAAACTAAACCCTATTTCACCTGCTAACATTTAGTCCAAGCCCTTCACAGAGTTTTAGACCTAGAAACACAGCACACACATTTACTAGGAAAACTTATTCAAATAATATACTCACATACCATTCAAACATCATCTTCAAATTGGTTTATTTCTGACCCTTAGTCCATGAATTATTATTACACTTGTGACTTACGGGAGCTTCTTATGTAACTAATTGAGATCGACTCCTTGGGGTATTCTAATATGTCAGATGTATTTTAAATTAGATTTTGAGGCATAAATTTAAAGGTGACCCTTGCTTATTTACCAGTGTTATTACATTATCATTTTTATTGTTGGGCACAGCTATTAAGCAACATGCTAATAGCAAAGCCTCTTTCCAGACAGTCTTCTTTTGTTGTTGATGGACAGATATATGTGGACAGTGCTGAGGGGCATGAGTAAACATGCATACACATTTACACTTATGCAGGATGCAGGAGGCATGGATACAGGACACAGATTCACACGAAGCATCCTATGTATGGTCTCATTGCTTGGCTAAGTGCACAGTGACATTATAAAGTTTTTAAAAATGTTCTTTCCTCCCCAGATTTTAAATAACCTCAGCATGGTCATTAAGCCAGGGGAAACTACAGCTCTTGTGGGATCTAGCGGGGCTGGGAAGAGTACAGCACTACAGCTCATTCAGAGATTCTATGACCCCTGTGAAGGCATGGTATGTATTTCCAGAAACTTCTCAACATGGAGGGGCAAGGGAATACAAGTGGTGGTGTTGTCAAATTGATTTTTTTTTAATTAATGGCTTTTAACATTTTCCTATAATGCTTCTTTCTTTCTTTCTTTCTTTCTTTCTTTCTTTCTTTCTTTCTTTCTTTCTTTTTCTTCCTTCCTTCTTTCCTTCCTCCCTCCCTCCCTCCCTCCCTTCCTTCCTTCCTTCCTCTTTCCTTCCTTCCCTCCCTCCCTCTTCTCTCTCTCTCTCTCTCTTTCTTTCTTTCTTCACATTTTTAGTTTGTTCACATTTATAGTATCAACTGCTTTGAGCAGCAAAGTGTTATTTGATGAATCAGATTTAAAAACAAGATTTACTATAAAGCACACATACAAGATGGAGGCTACTGTTTACTTTTATTGTATCTTTTTAAGTTCTATTTTTTTTGGACACAAGCCAAAAGTCAACAAACATATTCAGAGTCTGGTGAACAACTAGTTACTCTCCTGAGAAATTAAAAATGTGCCCATTCTGAGGCTGGTAGTGAGAAATTAAGTGACTTTTACACTACCTGAGTTTCTACAATGAATTTCTGTACAGCTAAACTCAGTTCAATCGCACACTGACATCCTTGTACAACAGGCCCATTTCCATAGAAATTGTTTCTATTATGGTCTTCTTAGACTCTGGTTATTCTCCCCAGTGGCCAAGCATCACCTAACTTTATGACTCCAAAGCTTGAAGGACAACAAGCTGTGTGATGCTCTTCTCCTCTCTAGGTGACTCTGGATGGCCATGACATTCGCTCTCTTAACATCCGGTGGCTGAGAGATCAAATTGGGGTCGTGGAACAGGAGCCAGTTCTGTTCTCCACCACTATTGCAGAAAACATCCGTTTCGGCAGAGAAGATGCAACAATGGAAGACATAGTCCAAGCCGCCAAAGATGCTAATGCGTACAACTTCATTATGGCCCTGCCACAGGTACCCTACCTACAGTCCAGGGGAGTGCAGAAGTCATCAAAGGAAGAATTAGCTCTTTTCACTTAAATCCTCAGTCCTTAAATTCTTAATGGCACACTCTAGATTTATGCCTAGAAATGTCCTATGTTTTTCCTTTCACACAAAAATACATTGTGTATATGGTTGATATCTATGAAAGTGGAGCTCTATCTTTTAAAAATGTCCCTTTGGTATAGATATAATTTCTTGGTCTACCTATTAAGCACATATTGAAAGTTTTGCAATATTTGTCATGAAGCAATGCTTGATAAATATTTGTTTTTGCTGGTTAATCACTTTTCAGTTACTATGAAAAAATATCCAAGAATAACAAGGAGGAAAATTTATCCAGGCATGTGGTTTCAGAGGCTCTAATTAAAGGTCAGCTGTTTTTCTTGCTCGTGGCAAGATAGAACATCATAGTGGGGGGAGTGTGCAGTAGAGCATAACAACTCACCTTTCAGAAGCCAGGAAGCAGAAAGAAAGAGAGGAAGGGCTAAAGTCCTGATGTCTGTTTCAAGGATATATTTCCCCATCCCTCAGCCTCCACCCCTCACTCAGTGAACCAACTTTCTCCCACAAAGTTACTTTTAAAGCTTCTATTGGCTCTCAACAATGTCACAAGGTGAAAAAAAAACTCGATAAGACACAACTTCAGAGAGGATTTATTCTAACAGTTTGAGGATACGGTCCAACATGGCAGGGTTAGCATGGTGGTATGAACATGACATGGCTGAACACACTTAAGTGTGGACAGGAAACAGAGAGAGATGAATGCTGTGCTGAGCTGGCTTTTTATTTGTTTATTTTTTCATCCCAGCTCAAGGGAGAGTGGTTATCCACATGGGTAGCTCTCCTCTTCACAGATTACCATTTCTGGAGGTGCCCTCAAAAGTGCCCAAAGGTGTGTCTCCTAGGTGGTTTCAAATCCATCAAGTTGGCAACATCAGCCATTGCAGAGGACATTTAAGATCTAGACCATAACTACCACTGCCCGCACGCTTCGGTTTTCTTATGCTTACACAGCTTAACTACTGTTGCTTTTAGACCTGAATCTCGCAAACTGAAAGAATTCTTCATTACGTCTCCATTCTTGTATGATCACCATGTCTATGTTTGACATTATGATCTTTAAGTCACAGGACGATTACTAATGATATAAGCATGGCTTTTAATACATGGCGGGCTTTGTTCTAGTACTGCCCATCTATTAGCTCATTTAACCCTCACAACAAACTTTGTCAAGTAGCTACTACTATTATGCACATCTGCAGATGAAGAATGGTGTTCTGTGAGGTCAAATTCTACAATATATAAATACAATGTGTGTGTGTGTGTGTGTGTATACAATATATAAAAAGGAAAGTCAGAAAGTCACAGCAGGTCAAGTTCCAGAGACACTGACCTTGAAAATATTTCATGCCCCCTTTGTCTTAGGGTTTTATTGCTGTGAAGAGACACCATGACCACAGCAACCCTTATAAAGGACAACATTCAACTGGGGCTAGCTTACAGTTCAAAGGTTTAGTCCATTATGCTCACGACTTGAAGCATGGTGACACACAGAGAGATGTGGTGCTGGGGAGTTAGCTGAGAGTTATATATATGGATCCACAAGTAATAGGAAGATAGAGAGCCACTGGGTCTGACTTGAGCTTCTGAAACCTCAAAGCACCCCTCTACCCCCAGTGACACACTTCCTCCAATAAGGCTGTACCTACTCCAACATGGCCACACGTCCTAATCCTTTTAAATAATGCCATTCCCTATGAGTTTATGGAGGCAATTTTCATCCAAACACCACACCTTCTAAATCACTGTCTTGGATAGCATTGTCATTATGAGGATGCCATACCCTAGTAGCTAATGAGAATAATGCTTTAGAATTACCCTGTGTCAGTATCAAACCTACTTCTCCACTTTCTAGCTTTATGAGCTTCAGGCAGGCTAGTTTAACTCTTTGTGTTCAGAATCTCCTTGTTCAATAATTACGACAAATAATAGTACTTGCCTCCTGGGGTTCTATGAGGACTACATGAGATGATATGTGTAGAATTTCAACACCATGCTTTTTTATCTGTGGTAAAGTGCTTAACCCTTTTTGGCTGATACTCTGAAAGTCAAGAATCTGACTTCCAATACTCCATTGTTAAATTTCCATGTGAACTTAGTTCTGTGGGATGCTAGGTCAGGACTAGCTGTGACAGCAGGGGTACAAAACCAGCTTTATCTTTTGTTCACAATATAGAGACAACTGTAGTGTTGTGTTTTGCTTTGTGTTCAGTAGGAGAAAAGAGAAAAGACTGGAATGTAACTTAGTCCCCTAGGATGGAGTTTCAAGATTGATCAATTTTCATTTTGGCTGACAATTTTTATTTGAGCATGAACTAAAAAGAAACATTCACACAGTTCAATGTATTCATTATCTCATATGTAAATATTGATTGGTTAGTTCTTTTGGAAAAGGGTATTTCTTTCATTAAATGTTGGACCTGTAAAAATTCACACTGGAGAAAAAAGTTAGAAGGGATACTGGATCGCTGTCTGAAGCCATAAAATTCATCTTCTTCATGATTCCTAGAAATTTGACACCCTTGTTGGAGAAGGAGGAGGCCAGATGAGTGGTGGACAGAAGCAAAGGATAGCCATCGCTCGAGCCCTTATACGGAATCCCAAGGTCCTGCTTCTGGACATGGCTACTTCGGCACTGGACAATGAGAGTGAAGCCAGAGTACAGAGAGCACTGAATAAGGTTTGTGGAGAGTCAATTCATTTTTACAGGTCCTTCAAGAAGGGAGTAAAACTAACAAGTCAATATATTCGGTCTGAAAATTTATAAAATATTGGTCAATTACCATCTATTTAGTGATGAATAGAACATGGTTATGATTTACTCACCAAAGATGTAACATAAAATTAAAACTCATATGAAGTGCAACATGATTTATCCCCATTTTATTAAACTATTGATTAATTATCACAATATGATCAATCTGTGATGTGAATTATGGCTACAAGAAACTAATGACTATTTCTGATATATGCACAGCCTGTGTAAGTGTAAGGATATTCCTAGGGCCCAAAGCAGACTTCCTTGTGAACTCAGGGATAGTATGAAGTTGGCATTGGTGCTGACCTATAGTCTTATTTAAGAGTACATCTTGTCTTTGTACAGATCCAACATGGGCACACAATCATCTCAGTTGCCCATCGCCTATCAACAGTCAGAGTTGCAGATGTGATCATTGGTTTTGAGCATGGAGCAGCTGTGGAAAGAGGAACCCATGAAGAGCTGTTAGAAAGAAAAGGTGTCTACTTCATGCTTGTGACCCTGCAAAGCCAAGGAGATAATGCTCACAAAGAAACAGGCGAAAAGGGCAAGTATCTCTTTCTCTTTGGCCCAAATATTATACTAAATAATTAACATTTATGGTTATGGATGAATTTATATGCTTGTGAATATGCATTGATTATTCATGCAAAGCCCAGCAAACATTAGGCAGTTGATAAGGGGAAAAAATAAAACAAAGAAGGCTAAGTTATCTGATCAAGTCACAGAGCTAACTAAACCCAAGGTTTTTTGCTTTCAATTCTACCATTTTTTAAGTAGGACAGGCTGCCTAGATGTATCAGGCATATGGAGGATTCTCATTATCATTGCATGAATTAAACAATGACTAAATGTTTAGCACTTATTTTCAAATGGAGATAGACACTCCAGACCTGACTATGCCTTCTTTTTCTCCATCTGAACTTTCAGACTTAGTGGTTATACAGAGTTAATAAATCATCCATTTTTTTTACTTTCTCCACCATCGCCCATGCACTCATATACAGAATTAGGCATAACTATTGCATGTTTAACACATGAAATCTAAGAAAGTTTTGAAAGTTTGCTGGTTTTCCATTAATTAATTAATTATTTTATTTATTTACGTTCCAGCTGTTGCTCTCCCTTCCCAGTACTCCCTCCCACAGTTCCTCATCTCATTCATCCTCCACTTTTGCCTCTGAGAGGGTGCTCTCCCTCCACTAGACCTCCCCCTCCCTGGGGCCTCAAGTCTCTTGAGGATTAAGTGCATCTTTAACCACTGAGGCCAGACCAGGCAGTCCTCTGCTATATATGTGTCAAGGGCCTCAGATCAGCCAGTGTATGTTCCTGGTTGGTGGCTCAGGCTCTGGGAGCTCCCTGGGGTCTGGGTTAGTTGAGACTGCTGGTCTTCCTATGGGATTGCCCTCCCCTTCAACTTCTTCAATCCTTTCCCTAATTCAACCATAGGGATCCCCGACTTCAGTCTAATGGTTGGGTGAAGTATCTTCTCCTGTCTCAGTCAGCTGCTGGTAGGGCCTCTCAGAGGACAGACATGCCAGGCTCCCATCTGTAAGCACATCATAGCATCAGTAATAGTGTCAGGTCTTTGTGCCTTGCCATGAGATGGATCCCAAGTTGGGCTGGTCATTGAACTGCCTTTTCTTCAATCTCTTCTCCATTTTTGTCCCGGTAGTTGTTTTAGACAGGAACAATTCTGGGTCAGAAATTTTGACTATGAGTTAGTAACCCAGTCCCTTCACTTGAGGCTCTGCCTATCTACTAGAGGTGGACTCTCTGAGTTCCCTCTCCCCATTGTTGGGCATTTTAGCTAAGGTCACCCAACTCCCAGGTCTCTGGTACTTTCTAGAGGGTCCCCACTCCTCTGTCTTCTCAAGGGTCAATATTTCCATTCATTCTCCTGGCCCTCTGGGCTTCTCTCCTAACCCAGATCAAAAGGACATGCATGGCATGTACTCACTGATAAATGGATATTAGCCAAAAGTACAGAAAACCTAGGATACAACCCACAGACCATAAGCAGTGTAACAAACAGAAAGGCCCAAGTGAGGAGGCTTCAATCGCATTTAGAAGGGGGAAGAAAATAATCATGAGAGGCAGAGGGAGAGAGGGAGCTGGGTGGGAGAGGGGATGGGGAAGGGAAAAGCTGAACAGGATCAGGTGTGGGGGTGGGTAGAGGAGAAGCCCAGAGGGCCAGAAGAATGAATGGAAATCATTTTTTTTTAAAAAAAAATCATACTAAAAGAGTCTTAAGTCTATAGAAAAAACCAGCCAGCACTCATTTTACACAAGTCAGTCTTACTGAGTATTTTGATTTTTTTAAATGTGTTGGACAAATTTCAAGTTTTTATTATTTTATTTTATTGCAATAAGTTAACAAGATGTCTGGATATCCAATGCAGTAATTACCTTCTAGGCAATCAGAAATTTCTATGTAAATAAGGCCATGCTTATTGTGTGTTCTAAGGAATGGCTCATGTGTTAAACAGGAAAAGATGCAACTGAAGGTGGTACACTTGAGAGGAACTTTTCCAGAGGCAGCTATCGGGATAGTTTAAGGTAAGCACAAGCCATATGATTTTGAAGGGTTTTTTTAATATATATTTTTAGGATCCTTCTACACGTGTGGTGCTTTGGTAATATCTCAGGTCCAAGAAGGAAACCCTATGGCAGACTCCAGGTCCTGTGACACAAGAGCGTGTCAATGGGGTTAACTTGGTCCTTTCAATCTGTTGAGAGAGGGCCATGGTGGAGGGCTCTCCTATTATTGAGCTTAGAATAGGTATCTTATTTTATTTGTTTTAATTTTAATGGTATATGCATGGGTGTTTTGCTTGAATGTATTTTGTGTGTGCCTGGTGACTACAGAGGCCAGAAGAGGGAATTGGATTCCCTGAGTCTAGAGTTACAGATGGTTGTGAACCACCATGTGGGTGATGGGAATTGAAACCTGGAGAGCAGCAAAAGGCTCTTACCCACTGAGCCATCTCTCTACTCCCTAGAATCTGTATTTAAAAAACTACTATGTTAACTTGGTACTGAGATGCATATTCATATATTTGGAAGGCTGAGGTAGCAAGATTGCACAATCAAAGCTAGCTTAGACTACAATGTGAGACCATATCTCAGGAGAAGACATATAAACAATTAGGAACAAACAAACAAACTGCCAGGCACCTACTCTTTCCTTGCCAAACTTAGCCAGTTTGAAGCACTCCTATATGAAGGCCATCTTCATCCGTTTAGGTCTGTTCTTTATCCTTACTGAGAGGAAATTAAAAGACTAACACTTCTGCTCCCAGAGTGATTTGTTTGGACTCAGATCATTTCTTAACTGGATGGAATAAAATGGATGTTTAAGCTTTTAAAGAGGATGTCCTCTAATGAGATATTTATTTTCCTGGACTTACATCTATAAATATTCACTTTCAAAACATATTTTGGAGTGTGCTGTTAGTGAGACTGTAAAAAATCATCATTTATGTTGGCTTAAGAATTTTACTAAAAATTAAAGGTGGCACACACCTTTAATCCCAGCACTTGGGAGGCAGAGGCAGGCGGATTTCTGAGTTCGAGGCCAGCCTGGTCTACAGAGTGAGTTCCAGGACAGCCAGGGCTATACAGAGAAACCCTGTCTCAAAAAACCAAAAAAAAGAATTTTACTAAAAAATTTTCTGGCGTTAAAAGTTATATATTCTTCCGGTCTGTGCCCGAGCACTGAGCAGATCTTGGGTGGCAGCACTGTACCCAATCTCACAAAACCCAGAGGAAGCAGGGCTCTCAGGAGCTGTAACCCAGGCAGTTTCTCAGGTAAGGAGACAGCAGCACCTGCCCCAAACAGGGAGTAACTGGGACCCAGAAATTCACTCCAAGCCTGGAACACTGATTCCTTCCTGTCTGCAACCGAGCACTGAGCAGATATCGGGCAGCAGCTCTAACCTCAGCGGCAACACCCACCCCAAATAGTTCTGACATAACCAAGATAATAGGAAAGACAGCCTCCAGTCAGAGACAGCGCAAGTAGCACTAAGGAGATCCAGAACATAAGCATTAGCAACCCAGGGTACTTGGCATCATCAGAACCTAGTTCTCCCACATTAGAAAGTCCTGAATTCCTCATATCACCAGGAAAGCAAGATTCAGATTTAAAATCACTTCTAATGGTGATGATAAAGGACTTTAAGAAGGACATAAATAACACTCTCAAACAAATTGAGAATACAGGTATACAAGTAGAAGCCCTTAAAAAGTAAACACAAAAATCCCTTAAAGAATTACAAGAAAACACAACCAAACAGGTGGAGGAATTGAACAAAACCATCCAAGACATAAAAATGGAAGTAGAAACAATAAAGAAATCACAAAGGGAGACTACTCTGGAGATAGAAAACCTAGGAAAGAAATCAGGAGTCATAGATGCAAGCATCACCAACAGAATGCAAGAAATAGAAGAGAGAATCTCAGGTACAGAAGATACCATAGAAAATATTAACACAACTGTCAAAGAAAATGCAAAATGCATAAAGTTCTTAACACAAAACATCCAGGAAATCCAGGACACAATGAGAAAACCAAACCTAAGGATAATAGATATAGAAGAGAGTGAAGATTCCCAAACTAAAAGGCCAATAAATATCTTCAACAAAATTATAGAAGAAAACTTCACTAACCTAAAGAATGAGATGCCCATAAACATACAAGAAGCCTACAGAACTCCAAATAGACTAGACTAGAAAAGAAATACCTCCTGTAACATACTAATCAAAACACCAAATGCACAAAACAAAGAGAGAATATTAAATGCAGTAAGGGAAAAAGGTCAAGTAACATATAAAGGCAGACCTATCAGAATTACACCAGACTTCTCACCAGATACTATAAAATCGAGAAGATCCTGGACAGATGTCATACAGACCTTAAGAGAACACAAATGCCAGCCCAGTCTACTATACCCAGAAAAACTCTCAATTACAATAGATGGAAAAACCAAGATATTCCATGACAAAACCAAATTTACACAATATCTTTCCACAAACCCAGCACTACAAAGGATAATAGCATTAAAGCTCCAATACAAGGAAGGAAATTATACCATAGAAAGAGTAAGAAAATAATCCTCTTCCAACAAATCCAAAAGAAGATAACCACACAAACAATGTCACCACTAATGACAAAAATAACAGGAAGCAGCAATCTCCTCTCCTTAATATTTTTTAACCTAAATGGACTCAATTCCCCAATAAAAAGACATAGACTAACGGACTGGATATGTAAACAGGACCCAGCATTCTGCTACATACAGGAAACCCACCTCAGTGACAAAGACAGACACTACCTTAGAGTAAAAGACCGGAAAACAATTTTCCAAACAAATGGTCCTAAGAAACAAGCTGGAGTAGCCATTCTAATATCAAATAAAATCAACTTTCAACTTAAAGGTATCAAAAAGGATAAGGAAAGACATTTCATACTCATCAAAGGAAAAGACAACCAACATGAACTCAATTCTGAACATCTATGTGCCAAATGCAAGAGCACCCACTTTCATAAAAGAAACCTTACTAAAGCTCAAAGCACACATTACAGGTCACACAATAATAGTGGGAGACTTCAACACCCCACTCTCAGCAATGGACAGATCATAGAAACAGAAACCAAACAGAGATACAGTGAAACTAACAGAAGTTATGAACCAAATGGATTTAACATACATCTATAGAAGATTCCACCCTAAAACAAAACCTTTTTCTCAGCACCTCATGGAACCCTCTCCAAAATAAACCATATAATTGATGGCAAAACAGGCCTCAAAAGATACAAAAAAATTGAAATAATCTCATGTATCCTGTCAGATCACCATGGACTAAGGCTGGTCTTCAATAACAACAAAAACAATGGAAAGCCCAAATTCACGTGGAAACAACACTCTACTCAATAATAATATGGTCAGAAAAGAAATAAAGAAAGAAATTAAAGACTTTTTAGAATTTAATGAAAATGAAGACACATCATACCAAAACTTATGGAACACAATGAAAGCAATGCTAAGAGGAAAACTCATAGCTCTAAGTGCTTACAAAAAGAAACTGGAGAGAGGATATACTAGCAACTTGACAACACACCTGAAAGCTCTAGAACAAAAAGAAGCAAATACACCCAAGAGGAGTAGTTGGCAGGAAATAATCAAATTCAGGGCTGAAATCAACCAAGTAGAAACAAAAAGAACTATACAAAATATCAACAAAACCAGGAGCTAGTTCTTTGAGAAAATCAGCAAGATAGATAAGCCCTTAGCCAGACTAATCAGAGGGCAGAGAGACAGTATCCAAATTAATAAAGTCAGAACTGAAAAGGGTGACACAACAACAGAAACTGAGGAAATTCAAAAAATCATCAGATCCTACTACAAAAGCATATATTCAACAAAATTGGAAAATCTGGATGAAATGGACAATTTTCTAGACAAATACCAGTTACCAATGTTAAATCAGGAGCAGCTAAACCATCTAAACAGTGCCATAAACCCCAAAAGAAATAGAAGCAGTCATTAAAAGTCTCCCCACCAAAAAAAAAGTCCGGGACCAGATGGTATTAGTGCAGAATTCTATCAGACCTTCAAAGAAAACTTAATACCAATTCTCTATAAACGGTTCCACAAAATAGAAACAGAAGGAACACTACCCAATTCATTCTATGAAGCCAAAATTACACTCATACCTAAACCACACAAAGACCCAAAAAAGAAAGAGAACTTCATAACAATCTCCCTTATGAATATCAAGGCAAAAATACTCAATAAAATTCTCACAAATCAAATCCAAGAACACAACAAAGCAATTATCCATCATGATCAAGTAGGCTTTATCCAAAGAATGCAGGGTTGGTTCAATATATGGAAATCCGTCAATGTAATCCACTATATAAACAAACTCACAGAAAAAAAAATCCTCATGATCATATCACTAGATGCTGAGAAAGCATTTGACAAAATTCAACACACCTTCATGATAAAAGTCTTGGAAAGATCAGGAATCCAAGGCCCATACCTAAACATAGTAAAAGCAATATACAGCAAACCAGTAGCCAACATCAAACTAAATGGAGAGAAACTTGAAGCAATCCCACTAAAATCAGGTACTAAACAAGACTGCCCACTCTCTCCCTACCTATTCAATATAGTACTGGAAGTCCTAGCCAGAGCAATTAGGCAACAAAAGGAGGTAAAAGGGATACAAATTGGAAAAGAAGAAGTCAAAATTTCACTATTTGCAGATGATATGATAGTATACTTAAGTGACCCCAAAACTTCCACAAGAGAACTCTTAAACCTGATAAACAACTTTAGCAAAGTGGCTGGATATAAAATCAACTCAAACAAATCAGTAGCCTTCCTCTACTCAAAAGATAAACAGGCTGAGAAAGAAATTATGGAAATGACATCCTTCACAATAGTCACAAATAATATAAAATACCTTGATGTGAATCTAACCAAGCAATTAAAAGACCTGATGACAAGAACTTCAAGTCCCTAAAAAAAAAAAAAAAAAAATCAAAGCAGA